ATAAAATTTCATTTAATTTCACACACGGGATGGACGTATGATTTTATGTTAGGGACGAACTCAAATTTTTAAAATTTTAGAGAGGGTTAAATTAAACTCATAAAATTTAAGGGACGAAAACAGATTTTCGATAGAAAATATATTAAAAAAATTAAAATATAAAGTAATTTTAAATTTTTAGGTGACGACGGCCGCCACCCCTCGATCCATGGGAAGTTCTACAGTGCGACACCTTAATATAAGGCTAAAATAAGGCGCTATCGGTTTTGTTATTATTTAAATAACAAAACCGATAAAAAATGATCGAAAACATTATTATTTTGATCGGTTCTAATTACCGATATAGATAAACGCGGTAGAAAAAATCGGTAAAAAAAATAATGTTTTCGGTCATTTTTACCGGGTTTTTCTACCGCTTCACCTATATCGGTAATTAATAATAATAATAATAATAACAAAACCGATATAAATAATAATGTTTTCGATCATTTTTTACAGGTTTTCTTATTTAAAATAATAATAAAATCGGTTACGCCTTATTTTAGGCTTATATTAAGGTGCCCCACGTGAGCATTTCCCCTCGATCCATCTATGTTTACGCGAGTATATTATTTTAGAGTAATTGATTGGGTCAAATAAATTATGCTTACTCCACTAAGGAAAACACAAGTTCTTAATTTTAAAATATAAATGAGTATTAAAAAATGACACCATAGTTAGTCGTGCATCACGTGCTATTTGAATAAGTTTTATGATAGTCAACAAAAATATCAAGTATGTTGAATCTTGTACTATTATACTTTTTAGATTTGAGAAGTGTATGGTTTATAAAAACGGTAAACTACAACAATGGTCACTAAAGTTTGGATGGATTTTTATGTTAGTTGTTTCAAAAGCTATTTTTTAGTCAACAAAATGCGACTTTAAAAACTTTAGTGACAAAAATAAAAACCCATCCAAACATTAGCAATTATAATTGTAATTTCCGCTTTTAAAAATTTACTATTAAAATAGAAGGGATTTATTTCTTTTAATACAAGTTAACTTTAAATGTGAAATAACTCAAATTTTGACATATTTACTAACTAAAATAAATAAATAAATAAAATTGATAGAGTGAAGAATTGAAGTTAGACTTAGTAATAGAAGGATTTAAAATTTATTTCGATTCCTCCCCATATAGGATTCGGCAAGTTCATAATTCATGATAATGCTAAAATATTAGTGGTCGACGTTTATATTTTTAACCAATTGTAAATATTTTTTATATAATAAAATTAATTTTAGTTGAATTCAAGTCGACTAAATTAGTAAATGGTACCATACTTTTTTTTTTATTTATACAATGTATCAATTAAGAAAATGATAGATTTATTAAAAATCCGAGGAGAAATGAAAACAAAATTGTTGATGATGGGTTAGATGAGGAAGATATAGTCTTTTAAAATTTCGGAGTTGAGAAGTTTTTAGGGTAAAATTGATAGTGTAGTTATAGTTTAGGCTTTAAATTAGATATTAACCATTTTTATTAATGAACCACAACATGGACGACAATTAACATTTGAGTGATTATTTGTTATCTATCCACGTTTTAATGACCAAAATATAACTTTTAAAACTTTAGAAGCCAGAACTAAAACTCGTCCACACTTTATTGATCATAGTTTGTAGTTTATCCTTTTAAATTTTTTTATTTAAAAGGAATTAATAAAATAAAAACATTTTTTAATATGAATTTGTGAGTATAAGAGTCGGTGACAAAGGATTTTATTCTTGAAATAGAAGTTGACTTCAAATGTGAAACAACTCCAATTGTGATATATTTACTCACTAAAATAAATAAATAAAATTGGGAAATTGTAGAATTGAACTTTAAATCGGTATTTCCCCATACAGAATCTGGCTCGGTTCATGATTTATAATAATATTAAAGTATAAATTTAAAACATAAATTATACGATGTAACAACGGCATTGAAAACAACGGATAGTTTTAATAAAGACGATCAAACTCTCATTCTTAAAATGAAGGCTTAGTCTAAACCTCGAGGAAGAAGACATGTTCAAGGGAGATGGTGGTGGTAGGAATGAGACTATCTCAATACATAAACTTTTATTTTTTTAAATAATTCATATCGAATATAAACAATTAGTTAACTAATGATTAATATATATTGTCGATATGATATTTTTATGTGTTTAATTGATGTGACGCATGACACGTCACCACTTATGATATATCATATGATATATTATGATTTTGGATGACGTGACACATTCCAACGTTACTTTAGTGACATAGTATGTCTCACGTCAGTAATTAAACTCACATGAAAATGTCACATCAATAACAATTATTAATAGTTAGTTGATTAATAATTTTCATTCAACATGAGCTATTTCGACAAAAGAATAAAACGTTAGAAATTAAAATGTTCTAGAAAAGAATATGAGTTTAAGTGACAATATGCAGACGTCAGAGATTTCCAAGTTTAGCATCAAATAACTTGCTTTGCTTCGATTTGTTAAGAACTTGAATCGAGTTCTAACACGAATCTAATCCATATGATTCAAATATTGATCAAGGTAATTTTAAACAACTCGCAATTTACCTCTTCTCATTTCAACACTATCAATTCAAAAGCACGCATCAGACTTCGTCTAAATAGAGGTTCACCACATTTATAAATAAGATAAATTGCATCATTCATTACTAAACTATACTCTCTCCTATTTTATTCACTGTACTTTCAATTTTCCTAATTTATTCACTGAACTTTCAAATTACTCCTGATCACTCTGAATTATTTTCATATGACGTGTCATTTTTATTATTATTTAATATAAAATAAGTTAAAATATAAAATAAAAATAGAAGGTGGTCGAACACCACCGTCGATCGCTGTCGACTACCGTAGATGGTGGTTGTTCGGACCCAAATTCAATGGGTCGCTTTGCCTCGACACCATGAGTTCAAATCCGACCTCCATTTTGTCATAACCTACCCATGAAATTTGGGACCAAACGACCACCATCAACGTCGGTCGACAATGGTCGAAGATGGGATCCGACCATCTTCTGTTTTTATTTTAATTAAATAATAATAAAAAGTATCACATCATACGAAAATTATAATAAAACTGAAAGTGCAGTGAGTAAAATAGAAGAAAGAGTATAGTTCAACGAGGAATAGTATAATTTACCCTTAAAAGTATGTAAAATTATATCTTAAATGAACCAAAGGCATGGCCCCATCTGTCCTCTCCTTGGTTGTAGTGTTTCAATATTAACATCTTAGGCTTTATTTGGTGCTATCTTTGTAATAAAACTAAAAATAGAACACTCAACTGTTGTTACTAAATTACAAGAGGACAAATACCTCATTTTCCATAAATAAAATACTAAATACCCCCCACCAATTTTATTCCCTATAAATTATCCCAAAAAAAAAAAAATTTATTCACTATAATAAATTCTTGCATATGCATACCCTATGAAAACACGGCCTACATAAATATACGAATAAAACAGGGGCTACATTTTTATTTTAATTTATTTCAGGCTTAACGGTTAATTTTCCTTCTATTTCAATTTGACAAAAAGGTCCTTTGTACTTTTAAAAAAAATTAATGTTATAATATTGATTTGACGGTTCACGATATTCACGTGACAGTCAATAATAGTTGATAACGTGACAGATAACTTGTCAGATAAGCTAAATTGATAATTCAAACATGTCAGATGGACTGTCATATCAGTACCGTGTACCACTACGTCAACAATGTGAACTATCACATCAACACCGTAACGGTCAAAAGATGAAAATCGTTAGACAAAATGACACATTGAGTTGAAAAACCACGTTGAGAAAAAAAATAATATGAAGACTACTTTAATTTCCCCCCAAAAATACAAGACCTCTAATTTCTTTTTATCTTTTAATTTATTTATAGTTTAACTTATGTATTATTTTTTCTTGATTTGTATAGTAACATTTTCTCAATATAATTGTTGTCTTGTTGATGTTTAAAAGAGATAATGGATCAAGAATTGTTTTTAAAAATTACTTTTTAAATATTAAGTTAATTACATTGAAAATAAAAGATATTTCAACCAAATTTAAAAGCTTCTTCCAAGACTCGAGTTTCTTATAAAATAAAAGATATTATAAATTAAAGATATAAATTGTAGATTATAAACGTAACCAAATCTAATATATTTAATATATTATGGATAATAGTTTTCTTTTATTGGTGTGTCGTTTATTTTTCTTTTTTTCTTTTCGTCTTGATCGGTGACAGTACTAACTTTAATGTTAGTTGTTGACTGTCGGTATTTCTATGTTCTTTTTATTTTTAATATTGTATATTTTTTTTTATTTTCAATAAGTCTATCGTGTTACACGTTTCATCTGCTGCTTGTGTTGTACATTTTCATATGCCTTTATGACACTTGTTTTTATATTTTTTTGGCATGTTTTTCGGTTCTTTGGTTGTATTTTATTTATCTTTTTCTGAAGATTGATTTGAAATCGTCACGACTGATGAAGATGACGCTTATCTGATATCTTGTGATCTTCCCTGTTTTAAACCCTTGGATTGGATTTAGATATCTGATTTGCATTTGTGGATAACTTTTCACATCGTTTGCGATTTGTCGATGGTCTTTCAATAACTTGATTTCTTTTTGTGGTTTGTTTGCTCATGCGATCATATATATTTATATCTATCTTTGTTTGAGTTTTTTTTAATCTTTCTTGTATGATCTTTATGTAATCTTAAGTTATTAATTTTATTTCAATGATTATAATAAGTTTTCCTATTTATGTGTTTAATTTATGATTGTGGCTGTATGATATTTTTATTTTGAATAAATTTAGTTGGTTCTATTAAAAAATATATATACTGCGGAAAATTAAAAAAAAACTAAAAATAGAGCATTTAATAATCTTTTAAAGTCGACGAGTTCAAACACATTTAAAAAAGAACTGATATACTATTTAAGTGTAGAAGATAGAGCTGGCCTTTGGGAATCTTTTACAATTAGTAAGAATCACAGCTCTGTTTGAGCTCTACTGGTGTCCCACCCACAGAAAATCGCTTCTCTTTTATGGTGGCTTTTTTGGACTGACGATCTTTTCTCTTTGTATGCTAGTGAAGTTCACGTATCCATCAGGTGAAAACACTACATGTTCAATCTTTGTAAATTCCAGCTCTTTTTAGATGCAACTTTTCTATGATGTTCAATTTGTTTGATGTTTTATATGCAACTATAGTTTCGCTTTGGTTGAATCCAAGTTTGAACTTTTACTATGATTCTACGTTTGATGAGCATGGAGTATATATATGGTTTTCGAGTTCTGAGTGAGACATTCGTCGAACACTTTGCAGAAGACCAAAGATTTTGCAGACAATTTGAGTGAATACGAAAGTTTGGAGAGAAAATGGCTGGAGGTGAAGAAGGGGCAACGTTGGAGTTTACGCCAACATGGATTGTTGCTGTAGTTTGCACTGTGATTGTTGCCATTTCTTTGGCTATGGAACGGTTGCTTCATGTTGCCGGGGTTGTTTTGAAGAAGAAACATCAGAAACCACTCTATGAGGCTCTTTCCAAAGTTAAAGAAGGTAACCCATCTCTTTCTTACTCTACAATTTTTCATTTTTGATTTAAATTTGATCGGAAGGGTTAAAGGGTAGATCATTTTTGATCCTTTGAGCTTTTATAAGGGAAAAAAAGTTACTCCATATTTTTTTTTATGACTACATGTGCATGGATGTGAAATTTGCTTACCTTTTTTGGGCTATTTTTATAAATTGTAGCATTGAAATGTCTTCTTCATTTTATTTGGCAGAGTTGATGCTCATGGGGTTCATATCACTATTGCTGACAGTATTTCAAGGTGCAATTGCTAAAATCTGTGTATCTAAGGATACATTAACTCACATGCTTCCTTGTAAACTTGAAGAAAATAAAGCAACAGGGAAGGGCTCCAATAGTGAAACAACATCACATTTTCAAACGTACTTTGCTTCGACCCTAGCTGGTAGCACCAGGCACCTACTTGCTGAAGAATCTGCCTCTTCTCATCTGGGATATTGTGCTAAGAAGGTAACATATAAGGGAAACAAAGAATTAGTGAAACTTTTTTCATGGTTAGGACTGAGACATTTGTAGTGTAGGAAATGTATGTAGGATTTGAATAGGGTCCTATGCATCTTATTTAATGGCGGTTCTGCAGGTTTTGGCTCAATTTTTTCAATTAAAAATGACCAACTCTTTGATTAATTTACTTATTGTTTCTGTATTTTTGTGCTTCAGGGCAAGGCACCTTTGTTGACTGTTGAAGCACTCCATCATCTGCATATATTTATCTTTGTCCTCGCCATTGTTCATGTGGTATTCTGTGTTCTCACAGTTTCTATTGGAGGGCTAAAGGTAAGCAGTCTAATATGGTTCTTTTGCTTATTCTCCAACCTCTTTTCTGGTTGCAGTTTATTTCTTTGTTTGTTCTCAGCTTCTCATAAAAAGATTAGTTTTTTTATATTGTTTTATTTCATGTAGATACGCCTATGGAAACGTTGGGAAGATTCAATTGCAAAAGAAAATTATGATTCAAAGCAAGGTAAGCACTAAGGACCATGCACAAAATAGGACCAAAGAAGAAACCCTTGATGAACACCTTCTTATAATAGTCTCTCTAAAGAGGGTGTGCTACTTTCATTTTTCTCCATGCTTCTTCCAACTTGTGTGCTGTGTTATTGCAGTGTTGAATGTCCAACAGCATACTTTTATCAAAGAGCATTTCCGGGGTTTTGGCAAAGATTCGATTGTGCTAGGGTGGTTGGTAAGCTTCTATTTCATTATGATACTGCTTTTTTTGCCATTCACCAACAGTTGAACTTAATGGAAGGGGTTGGTTCCAAAATTCCTTTATCGTTTTTGCCAACGATGGCCCCTGCTCGTCTTATGTAAGAATTGGCATGAAATATGCACATACTAGTTCATAATTTTGAACACTAAAAAAGACATCCGATACGAAGCAATATTGATTGAACCTCAAAGAAATCTTCTTTGTTTTCTTACAGCATTCATTTTTTAAGCAATTCTCCGCGTCTGTGACCAAATCAGATTACGTGACACTAAGACTAGGCTTCATAATGGTATGTTTTCGGTGAAACAATCGAACAACTTTCATATAGTTAAAATGTAATTCAGATATCCAATTATCAAACACATATTATTTGTATTGCAGATGCATTGCAGAGGGAATCCCAAGTTTAATTTTCACAAATACATGATACGAGCCTTAGAAGATGATTTTAAGCATGTTGTCGGTATCAGGCAAGTTTAGTACTTCTTGCACATGGCGAATGGTTATGTTCCTACTTCGAGCCATGCTTGTTCATCTTGATTTTATCATTTTGTTTGCAGTTGGTATCTCTGGGTTTTTGTGGTCATCTTCTTGTTGTTGAATGTTAACGGTACGTAAGACCATTGACCATTGCCAGCATTATCATGTTAAACTATGTTTTATGGTGTTAAACTAAATCTTTCAAATGTAATGTATGAAAAATAAATTACCGTGCAATGATGACATTTTCTCAATTTTCTTCTGCAGGCTGGCATGCTTATTTCTGGCTTGCTTTCATTCCTGTCATTGTGAGTAGTTTCCCATTCCTTATATCATGCTCGAATATGTCTCGGACGCCGGTGTCGGAATCGTACTTTAGGGAAAACAAAGAGTCCATGTAACATAACTAATCAATGGAATGATAGAATCTCATCCTACAAATAAAGATTGATACTGATAATAATGTCACTAACAGATTTATTAGAAGACATAAACAAGGAGAGAGACAACCATTGAAACTTGAGATAAATTCATTGACATTAAAAATTTAATTTTGTTTGCATTCTACATTTCCTTTTTAACTCGATTCATTTGTTTCCAGCTTTTACTTGCCGTGGGCACCAAGCTTGAGCATGTAATTACCCAGTTGGCTCAAGAGGTTGCCGAGAGACATGTAGCCATTGAAGGGGAATTAGTGGTCCAACCATCGGACGATCACTTTTGGTTCAACAGGCCTCGCATCGTCCTCTTCTTGATCCATTTTACCCTCTTCCAAAATGCGTTCGAGATTGCTTTCTTCTTTTGGATTTGGGTAAAGCCTATATTTTACTTCACTATTCTGCCGTATGAACCACATAATGACACTTTCTTCATCTGTAGGTTCAATATGGCTTTGATTCCTGCGTAATGGGTCAAGTTCGTTATATCGTTCCTAGGCTTGTTATAGGGTAATAAACTAACAATCAATGACCATTTGGTTTAACTTATTATGAGCTCTTGGTTCATTTTGTTCACTCTTTTGTTGGTTTCTTCAGGGTTTTCGTTCAGGCACTCTGCAGTTTTAGCACATTGCCACTTTATGCTATTGTCACACAGGTTAGTTGAGTTTCTTATAACTATGAACTTCGATTTCATATTCGAAACTCCGATTTACACGTCCCATTTGATCGAAGATGGGGAGCTCGTTCAAGAAGGCGATATTCGATGAGCATGTGCAAATAGGCCTTGTCGGTTGGGCACAGAAGGCAAAGAAAAGGAAAGGCTTAAAAGCTACTAGTCAGGCTGCAGCTGAAGTGAACCCGGAGGAAAGCCCTTCGGTTTCGATTCAGATGGGGAGTGTGCTGGGAAATGCATCTGATCCAGAGGAGATTCATCCTTTACATGGCTCCAATTGAGCCTTGTTGAGAAGCACAGGAAGACATGCTTCTTGTACAAAATGTTTATCAGTTAACAGTGTTTGTGATGTATTTGTGGGGTTCATCCTGTGCTTGGTTTTGCTTGGTTAAATATACAGGGAAAAAAATGTTGTCTTGGTGAACAAGTTTGGCTTGAAAAGAGTCGTCGTAACGTGCGAACCAAGCTATCTCAGTGGTTGAAATGATGATTTTTATTTCTAGAGGTCTTAGGTTTGAATACCAGAGACTGTATAGTATTTAAGCGTTTATTGTTAAATGGTTGAGAGTCTTTAAAACATATATTCGAGATTAATAAAAAAATAAAAGCTCTTTCAATGTTTACTGCTATGTTAATCTAAATACCAGTTATTTTGCAACCTTTAAATTTGCACTTGGATTAAAAGCGAGTATAATAAATATTTAAAAAAAATTAGATCTTCAAATATAAATGAAATATTATTTCCGAATAAATTCGTATCTATAATACGTTAAGAATTAAAAAAGTTTAAAAAATAGAAAATTTAAAATAATATAAAATAGAAATGTGTACAAATAATTATGATTATGATTTATTGCTTATATAATTATATAGACGAGCTAATAAATAAATAAAAACATTGTCATAAAAGTATATAAGGCAAGTTAAATAAATAGAGGAGTTGGTCATATATGGACAAACGATTGAACAACTATTTTAACGTAAGTTATTTTACGGTGTTTTAATGATTTTGTGTAAATTATTTTTATTAATTGTTTGATACACTATAATTAATTTATAAAAAATAATTTATATAAAATAAATAAAATTTGGTTCGATCAATATTTTCAAAAAAATGATTCGATTAACGATTAAAGAAAAAAGTTTGGTTTATTCGATTAACAATAATTCAATTCGATAAGTGGTTGAATTAACCATTTGAACAACCTTATTTTTAATTATTAGTATTTTATTAACATAATACTAAATTATTATATTAATATTAAATATATAAATTAATACTATTCATTATTAATAATTTGATAATATTATATTATAAAAAAATAGATAAATATTAATAATTTATTTAAAAATATAATATCATATATTATTATAATATATATGAGTATATATTAATATAATATTAAAAATATAATATTATTAAAATTATATTATATGTATATTAAATATTTTAATAATGAATATTTTTATTAAAATGATATTAAAATATTAATTTAATATTAAATGTGTAAAATAATATTTCTTTTAGTACTTATATTCTGAAGTAAAAAGTTAGGAAAATATCTTACGTAAAATCATATAGTAAAACAATTTACAGAAAATGCAAAGGAACTAGAAAAATGAATTACATTGGAAAAATCAATTACAACTATCAAACACTGAAAAATATTTTTCGTAAAACCAATTATAGCTATCAAACACAGGAAAATTAGAACAAATATTTTCTGGAAGACAATTTTCAGCTATCAAATACACTTTTATATTAAATTTAAAAAAAACATTAAACCAATAATAACTCAAATTTAATCCATTTAATTTGATTTAAAACAGATTAAAACAATTTTAAACATCCGTATGGTAGATGGATAAGTTAACTATTATTATCATTTATAGCAAATTAATTAAGCCTCCACCATAAAACATAAAGTAATTTCCCATAAATATGTACAAAATGTCGGTTGGGAACTCAATTAATTGCCCACAACTTTGCTTTTGTCTGCTCTTTAAACCCAATATTCATGTGACGGTCATTCATTTTTCTTGATGCAATAATTTTATAATGAGAAAATAACATCAGTGACCAAAAATCTCATATAATATACGATTTTAACTAATTTTTTTCGGATTTGCCAAAATGACCAACAAAATCGCAATGCGATCGCTAATTCGCAACGCGATCTCCATTATCGCAAATTCGCGTTGCATTTTCGCAATGCGATAGTTGAAAATCGCTTTGCGATGGTCTACAGTGTCGTTGCGATTTTCCCAATTCGCAATGCGAATAAGTAAATCGCAACGCGAATTGGGAAAATCGCAATGCGATACTGACTATCGCAATGCGATAATACAAAATCGCAACGAGATACTTACTTTCGCAACGCGATACTGACTTTCGCAACGCGATTCTGACTTTCGCAACGCGATAATACATAATCGCAATGCGATTTTCAAAGCGCCATTAGTATCCTGGCCAAGTATTTTATTTTTAAATTCCAAACACGAATATTAATATATTGGAACACTAAACCGTCCACAGTATATCCCGTAATCGTAACTCATAACCTAAAACCTAAAATCACAACTCAGTCCCATCTCCATCTCTCACTCTCTCACCCATCTCCGACGAAATCCGTCTCCATCTCCGGCGAAATCCGTCTATCTCCATCTCTCAGAGCCACCCTCACAATCAGAAATGGAAAATCAACCAAATCAACCAACGAGGGTTAGTTTTTTTAATTATTTTCTTTTTGAAATTTTTGCATTATTATTAGGTTTTTCATATTGAAATTGATGATAAGTTTACTGGTAATTTCAATAATAGATTAACCATTTCACTTAGATTGCTTATTAAATCAACCGAGAATCGCAACGCGAAATGCAAATCGCAACGCGATTTTAGTTTCGCGTTGCGATTCTCTCGTTGCGATAGTCAAATTCGCGTTGCGATAGTCATTTTCGTGTTGCAATTTTCATTTTCAGAAACTATTCTTCTTCTGCAAATTGAAACTTGAATGAATTGCATTACTTCAACCAAAAAACAAAGACAAATACGAAATTCACAGTGTTGCAAATTTAAGTTTGAAGAATAAACTACTACTCTTTATGTTTATTATTGTTTTTGGTATATCTTCACAATGTAGTTTTTGGTATATCTAATTAGTATGTTTATTGTTTTTGTAGAACTTTTATTCGGCTCAATTGACCTTGAGAATAAAGTCAGCCTGGCCAAACAATTGCGTCGAAGCTTTCACCTGCACAAAGAAAAATGTTTGAGGATACATGCTTCGGGCCATGGCTGAAAGTACAACATCCCGGTGGAAATGCGATGTTGACACACCTGTTTCTTCAAACCATGACTAGCGATCTACCAGAGACTATACAACGTCGTGATGAAGAGATATGGTTTGATTTTCCACCGGCGTATACGTGTTTTGGGCGGGAGGAGTTTTGCTTAATTACCGGTCTACGCTTCGGACACGATGATGTAGGTCGGTACACTAGACACATTACCGCCCTCATGGCTATCCCGGGTTTTTCCTGAGCTGGAGAGGCCGAGTCTACACGTAGAAGACCTGACAAGATTGTTGAATAATAAAGACGGTTTTACTCGGATGGATGACGTCGACGTTGTCCGAGTATGCCTTCTAATTCTTTTGCATGCCAGCTTTTAGGCAGAGAGGCCAGACAACCTATTCCAAATGATCTAATCAAATTGGTAGAAGACCTAAATGCGTGGAACCTGTTTCCGTGGGGCTCATATTTATGGAAAGCTACATGGAATAAGTTATCGTTTGCCTTGGATGATCGAAAAAGTTTGCATGGCGATGGTTCCAAATACACTTTGACAGGCTTTATTTGGGCCTTTAAGGTAAGAATTTTTATATGATGTTTCCAAAATTATAAGTAATTATTTAACAATTACTAATGTTTGTTATTATATTGTTTGTAGATTTGGATATTGAGGCCTTTCCCGCCATGAAGACATATGCAATAAAAACTTCAAAGATATTCCCAGGGCTATTTCCTGGAAGAGGAAACAGACCTTGCAATGGGAAGATTTACTACGGTATACGACAATAAATAATGAAAGTTAACATAAATACTACCATATGTTTATAAACAAGTTATTACTAGTACACGTTTAACTTTGTTTGAGCTTTTATATTGTTAGGAGGCCAACACTCCTCTACAGAGGCTGACACCCACGGAAGCTGAGCTTGTCATTGATTGGTGGCAAGCTAGTAAGCGTTTTTTTTGATGGAACGGTTGATGAGCAGCCTCCACTTCGGGAGCCATCACCTCGCCCAGAGCTATCACCTCACCCAGAGCCATCATCTGATCGACCCGTCTATACACCTCCACAACGATATGGTTTCATGACGTCTAATAGTGCAGAATCAATTAACGCTCTAAGTCGTCATTCCCGAAAATTACCCATTACTATGTTAATGGAGTTTTTTCGAGCCTCTATTCAACAGTGGTACTACAAGAAAAGAAACCATGCATGTATTATTTCTTTGAATTCGTAACTTATCATATATTTTACTAAGTATTATTTATTTAAATTTACAGGAACATTGGAACATCGTGTTACACCATGGACTGAAAAAAAGATAACGAAACGTATTGTGAAGTCAACGTCATGGAGAGTTGAACCATGTTCAAACACTTTGTTTGAAGTACTGGATAATAACTTAAATGGGCTTGTCGATCTAAATGCAAGGACGTGTAGTTGTATGAAATGGCAAACATCTGGTTATCCGTGTGGCCATGTTATAAAAGTTGCTCTTCATCTAAACCAAGATGATTCAAGCACATACGCTATGGATTGCTACACTACAGAAGTATATCGACAGACTTATGCCGAGATTGTCTACCCTATTTCACATCCTTCTGAGTGGGACATACCAGATGACTTACAAAACAGTTTTGCCACAAGCCATGGACAGAAGGCTACCTGGCCGACCAAAAAGTCACGATCGTATACCGTCTAAGGGTGAAGAGAAGAAGAGATCGACATGTAGTCGGTGCAAGGAAAGTGGTCATACAAGGTTGACATGTGGATCACCAGTGCCATCACAATAATCTTTTCCTCTACCAAAATATGGATCATCATCAAAATCCAAAGCTCATATGGGTCAAGAAAAAGGCAATCAAAATCGCAATCATCTTTAAAATCCCAATCACAACTGGCTTCACCTTTTGGACTGTTAACTTAGGTGATTTTTAAATGCAAACGTTGTATTATGTAGATTTATGTGTGAACTTTTAACATTTTCAGTTAGGCATGTATTAGTAACTTGAGTTTGAAAATTGCTATGATCTGTTCAGTTGTTATCACTTAATAGGCAATCATCTTAATGTCTATCGCAACGCGGGCGAAATGAAAATCGCAACGAGAGAATCGCAATGCGAAATGAAAATCGCAACGCGAATTTAATTTCGCGTTGCGTTTCTCTCGTTGCGATTTTCATTTCGCGTTGCGATTCTCTCGTTACGATTTTCATTTCGCATTGCGATAGTACTTTTTGCCTTCAACAT